ATCACCGTTAATTCTATCAAAGTTATGGAGATTTTAACTATCGAATCATTGGTACAATTTCACTAAATTCTTGCATCTCATCATCATTTTGAGAAAAATGGAAGTGTTCTTCTCATTTCACTTTTGAGTTTAAGAAACATAAACATCCTATGATTCTAATAGTCCAAAAGGTCAATCCTAGCTCCGTTGATATCAAATTTTCAAATAATTATATTTTTCAAGAAAAATGCAGAACATGATTTAATAATCACTCAAATTCACCATAGGAGAAATTACTCAATTTTGTGCCCTATATTTTCTTTTTTTTTTTGTATTTTATTATTTTATTTTTGCTTTTTGCCTATAAAAAATAAGGATTATCCAAATAGCGTGAGAAATAGCGTAAATCGCGTATATAACGCAAAATATAGCATAAGTTGCGTAAATAGCGCAAAATATAGCGTAAATTGCGTGCGCTTTTCTAGAACTGCGCTAAATATTTTACGCTATGCCGCGTTTTTGGGCAAAAATGCGTTATAGCGAGCGAAATTGTGCTATTTGAAACACTGCTGCTCGCTATAGGTGCACTTGGGATTTTCTCTAGAGGCTCACCCAGAGTCGTCAATGTGTACCTAATTTCATTTTTCACTCATGTTCTGGAATAAGTGTATTGTGGAAATGGTTTTAGAAAATTTGTATTATTATAAACTTTACCTGCCTTTTCCTTTTGGGTTTCCATAATATCCTTCTAACAAATGTGCATTTAACTCTTTGTTTACTTATTCATACTCTTTTTAATTGCAGGGTACGGGTCGATATGGTGTTGGAGAGGTTGGTTTTGGAGCAGGTATAGTCTCATCTTTTAGATGCTAATAAGTTTACCCATTTGCATGGGGAGAATAAGGACTCAAGTTTTGTTCCGGGGAAAAAAGCATTTTTCATCTTTTGAATGCATTGTCTTGGTTATTTCAAATATTTATTTATGATGTGGTACACCCCTTTCATTTTATACCCTTAGATTTGTAAGGACGGGAGATACTGATGACTGTACTTTTAGAATTAGATGTGAGTTGACTCGACTTTTAATAAAACAACAGGGCTGTCTCAACATCTCCTGTCTTGTCCCTTCATTGTCCTGATAATATTTAGATGTTGCATGGTGTCTGTTTTATCAGCACACCATTCTTCAAGTATATTTTGAAGCTTCTAGGACGTAATGTGAGAGTTCTAAATGAAAGGACAAGAATTATGCCTGAAAGATTCAAATAGTTGTGATTTTTCAGGCTATCATCTTTACGGGATGTTAGTTTAAAAGAGCATTAGTTGGTCTCCTAGATGGTGTATTTAAAAAAATGTATACTCTGTTGTTTTTCTTTGTTTTTATTTTTTCTTTTTGGGGTTTTAATTAATCTCAAAATTCATGTTATCTGTAGCACCTTTGAAAGCCCCCAAGTGGTACAAGAGAAAAGCCGGAGTTTCATTTGGTTTTGGGGGAAAGTACGTTTCATTTCACTCTGCTGAATCTCCCTCCCCTGGATCTTCAGAGGTACACTAAGGGAGTTATATTGTGGATTGCCTCTAGTATTTTACACTTTTAACTATTTTGACCATTTTCAGGTTTATGCGCACAATTTAGTTACGGAGCATGGTTTGATTAGTCGATCTTCTGAATTTGAAGCCGCAATACAAAATGGGGACAGATTAGCACTTAAACTTTTGTGCGAAAGGAAATCTCAAGAATCTGAGTATGTGTTCTCTATTCTGCAGTTGGTGCTACTATAACATTCATTTATCATCAATACTTTTAAGTTTTTTCTTCCTCAGATCTGATGAAGAGAGGGAAACATGGGGCTTCATGAAAGTT